TAACAAATAAAGCCCTATTTTTTTTATTTTTTTTAAATTTAAAAATAAATATAAATAATAATAATCTTACCTATCATAATTTTACACAAACCCCACCACACGCATATACATACATGCGAGGAAATATTTTCCAGCTGGAAAATACATATGACATGTACACATCAACGAGACATTTCCGTCATACTTCCAATGTTTAGATTTCAACATTTCAACATACAAATGCGTATGTATAGATATAACACCACCCGTATACATACATGTGTCATAGCCGAAACTGCCCACATATGTTTATATATGTATGAGTCCCGACGGACGACCAAGTATGTATATGTGTCTGCATACATCGATGTTTGCGTTAGTACGATGAATGACAAAACGACGAAATTTCCCCACCACTTCCACAATAAACACCAATACACGCAATCTACATAAACCCAAATTTTTAAAACATTAATCAGTTTGTCTGACGATCGCTAATGCGTGAAACCCAGGGTCACAAACTCACATCTATCCAACCAAATATATATATATATATATATATATATATATATATGTGTGTGTGTGTGTGTGTGTGTGTGTGTGTGTGTGTGTGTGTGTGTGTGTGTGTGTGCACTGCTTGTCAGAATCTTAAGGCCAATGAAAATTATACATATTGCGTCGTTCGTCTCAAGTTTACCTGGAAAGAAGCAAAGCATTTCTTAATATGAAAAATTGAAATGAATGCACAACTATTGCAATGAGTTCTCCGCTATGGTACCTCGACATTTTGAATTTAAGAGAAGCACTAGCCTGGCGTCGAGATCTCATCAATTTACATTTGATCTGGCTAGATGAAAATTCTATGCTAACAATTTTGTTTCTCGCTTATGGAAGTCACTTCCGGCTCCATTCTTTCCAGCCAACTGCAAACAATTAAACGGAATATCAAACGCTATCTACTCTCCATCTGATTACTCTTTCCTGTTCCCGCTCGTTATTAAAATTGCTGTTTCTAATTCTTCCTCTCCCAGTAACCCCTTCTGGTTTTTCTGCTTTGCATGAGGTGAAACAGGTTTTTAAAAAAAATCTAGGGTTTCACAGCTCCATTATTATTTCTTCATAACCAGTATACAAATATTTCTGCCCACCCACGTAAGTATTTTAAAACTTGTGACTTACCTGTTTAAATAAAACCCAAAGGGTAACTTTGTGGATGTTTCATAACGTCACATGTAAGTGAAAAACACACAACGTGCATCAAAACAGTTTTAGAAGAGACCAGATAAATTAAATAAATAATACATACAAACATTTCTTAAAATGGAAAAAAAAATGAAAGAAGATAAATGGATAGTTTTATATAAAGGAAAATATTTTTAATGTGTCAATACTTTAGAATTTTATAAGAAAAAAAATAAGACATTTCTTTTATGGAGATTGTAATCCTTTATGAAAAATATAGAAAAATCGTTTGTGTGTCTGCACTCTTGAAACAAAAAAAAAATGGACCGTTTTTATTCTAAAAAAAATGTTAATACAGAGTTATTGATTTTCTACGTACTCTCAATAAATTTTCATTACTCGGTGTTAGTGTAAAACCAGAAGAAGACGTCAGTAATTAAAGTGTGTTTATGTGCAAGAAAGTGACGAAGAGAAACAGAGAAATATTTTCTTATTCATAATACCCAAGAAATGAATCTTAATTTTATCAACAAAAATTCACTGCATATATATGTGTGTTTTATTTTGTTTGTTTTGTTTTACGCTATATCAATCTCAATGGGTTATTTAGTGCCGACAATTTTTATTTCTGGTAATATTCTTTCAAAAAATGTATAGCTGAAAATATTTTTTTTGTTTTCACAAATGTATGCTGGTAATATTTATTTTCTTAAAAATGTATTGCTGGTAATAATGTATTCCTGGTAATAATTTTTCCTCAAAAATGTTTAACTGGTATTAAAACCTATTTTTACATTTTCATAGTATTTTGACCCCAGTGTGGGGTTAACTATTTGCCCATAGCTGGGACCCTAACAGATGCTAGCACCCAAGCAAAATTGATCCCAGTCAGTTAACTATACAGTCGTTCGTATTTTGCTTAACTCAATGCTCAAGACAGAATCCATGGTCATCAATAAAAGGATGAGCCCGAAAAGAGATTTTCAGGTCTAGAACACTAGAATCAAGCAGACACGGAAGTTCTGAGAAGCCTTTTAACAGAGGGTCAGGCTGGACATGGGAACACCAGCAATTAAGAGGTGGTTCCACGCTCCTCAAAACCTCCTGATCAGAGGCCTTGCTGTTGGACGTAGTTTATCGTCATACCCAGAATCGTGTATGTGTGTGTGCGTGTGTGATTGCGTGTGTCTGATTGTGTGTGTTGATATCAAAAGTGTTTTCATAGAAATAAAAGAGAAATGTATGGTGACAGGTTGTTTTAAGTCTTAAGCGATCATCAGTTACGGTCTGATGATTGCTAATGGCGTGAAATTACCTGTCACCATGCAGACGTGATCTGAGCATCGTTTAAAGCGTGATACTCTGGTTTCTATGCCGTGACGACTTCTACGCGCTCACAATAAATAATTATTAAGTTGTTCGGAAAATAAAGTCCGATGTTAGAATTGACTTTTATTCGTTAATTAAAGCCTTAAACAGTGTTTCAGTCAGTTAAAATAGAATCACCGAACATCTATACATATTTCTGCCATTGAGTTTACAAGTTTATTTGTGCTTTTACGATAAAACTCTAAACCTTTGAACACCAAGAAATCTTTGGGTGCAGGTTTTTCGATTTCTTTGCAACGGAATGTCATTAAATAAAAAGATGCTTGCGAAAATGGTAGATAGTATGCGAGAGATCAGCGCAATATGATTGATGTAGCAAAGTTTCGTATACCAAGTCAGTTAGCTTCTGCATTGATATCCTGTGAATTTGTGGCCGAGCATTCTCGTGAAGCAAAATTGGTCCTGATCAGTTAACTATAGAGTCGTTCGTATTTTGCTTAACTTAATCCGCAAGACAGAATGCATGGTCATCATTAAAAGGACGAGCCCGAAATGCGATTTTCAGGTCCAAAACATTAGAATCAAGCGGACGCGGAAGTTCTGAGAAGCCTTCTGACAGAGGACGGTAAGTGCGACACTGAGATCCGTAGACGTATTGGGCTGAACAAGAACGCATTCCAAAAGCTGGACAGAGTATTGCGAGACAGGATGATTTCTTTAATAACCAAAAAAAAAGGGGGGGGGAATACTGACCTGTCACGTGACATCTGTCCTTCTTTACACCAGAAAATCTTGTATGATTTCCTCAAAGATGAAGAAGAGACACGAGGCACAAAAGGATGCTAAGGATATTATGAGCAAGTGAGCAACGATGAGGTCTTAGCGAGAATGCAAATAAGAAGGAGGCTTATACTTAACATAAGGAAGAGTCAGCGGAAGTTTCTGGGACACATAATGAGGAAGGACGGCCTGGAGAATGTGATACACATGAGTCGAATAGAGGGAAATAGAGACAAGGGAAAACAACGCATGACATACCTAGCGGCCTTAAGCAAGTGGATGACAGAACGTGGTCTGGGGTAGGAAGCAGAGGGAAGGGGCTTGTTGAGTGCTGCAAGGTTTAGAGGGAGGTGGAGAACCATGATCGCCTACGTCCTGGATGGACATGGCATATAAAAAGAAAGAAAGTTTTTGTGTTTCTAATGTCTTAGGTTACAAACAAAGAGGAGGCTTATACCTAGCATCATGAAGAGGCAGCTGAAGTTTCTGGGACACATAATGAGGAAGGAGAGTCTGGAGAATCTGATACTCACAGATCAAATGGAGGGAAGGGAGACAAGGGAAAACAATTCATGACATACCAAGCAGCCTTATGCAAGCGGATGACAGAACGTGATCTGGGAGAGGAAACAGAGGGAAGGAACTTGTTGAGAGCAGCAGGGGACAGGGGGGGAGGGCCATGATCGCCTACATCCTGAAAGGTCATGACACATAAAAAGAAAGAATGTGCATTTCATCTTGTTGTAAACCTCGGTGGCGATTCTATGTTTAGTTTGCAGAAAAGCGTTAACAGATAACGCCAATGGAGGACGAACAGACATTAACAATAATCTTTTCTTGGTACAATTTCTGTTTTGGAAACTATTTGAATCTTTCGGCATGATCAAGCCATTTTGATGGTCGTTTAGGATTTTCATAAGTGATCCAGTTCTCATCGCAAGTCACTATTCGATTACTATATGGATCAATATAATTTCGCAAATGCAGCGTGGAACATATTTCAAAACATAGAAACCTTTCACTTTTTCTGGGTTCTTGTGGACCCATTTACTGAGTTTCTTCCCTTTGTAAATTCCGTTGAGAAAGTCCGATATTGTTGAAATACTGACACCCATTGTCTGAGATATTTCTTTGCCTGTGATTTGTTCGACTATTGTTTTTAGATATTGATTGTCAATTGCAGAAGGACGTTCTCTACCACTTTCATCTTCAAGACTCATATCCCCGCTGGGGAACTTCAGAAACCAGCGCCCTACTTTCACATCACAAGTGGAACCTTCATCACATGCCCCGTTAATCATTCCAGATGATCTAATACAAACGCATTGTGGTGGATTTGAGGCTCATTCCTCGCATAAATATGTCAGGTTTTAGACAATATAATTATATGTAATTTTATTTCGGGCTAATGATGTAATCTTTATTTTTATTAATACAACGTTTCAAACTTTCATTGCCTGGACTTTATCAGGTGCCTCTTGATAGACCTCAGTAAAGTTTAATTTTTTTTTTTTTAATATGGATCAATATTGTGAATTTCTTTCTCCGTTTAATGATAATGTTATTAAACTTATCAGACGTTATGAAAAGAATTTACATAAAATAAATAGACAGCACTTGTCTATATTATTTAATGAAACGTGTATGATTATATATATATATATATATTTATGTATATATATATATATATATATATATATATATATATATATATACACACACACACACACATATATATATATATATAGATAGATAGATAGATAGATAGAGAGAGAGAGAGAGAAAGAGAGAGTGAGATGGATAGGCAGACAGAGAGAAAGAGTGGGGAGAAATGGAAAGAGAGAGACGATAAAGTAGAGAATGTCTATCTTCAAACAAGTGAATATGGTTATAGTTTCACTGGACTATCGTCTGATGATCGCTTGTAGTGTGAAACTGTAAGTCATTATGCAGTATTGATTTCCTTGCTCACACTGATTCTTTCTCTTTCTGTTTGCCTGTTTCCTTTCTTTCTGCACTCTGCCTTATTTAGTTACGCTAAACCACTCCCCCTACTCTCATCTCCTTTAACGTTTTGTTTTATAATAATTATAATCTATATTATTATTATTTCTCTAATTCTCTTTCTGTTAATCCTTTTACCTCTGTGTGGCCTAATACCCCCAATTTGTCTACATAGGATTAACATTCTCTGACATCATTTAATACACTGTCTCGCCTTTAAGATAGATATTGACCAACTTCACTAAACTATGACCGCTGTCATCGCTTGATTTATACATCGAAAAGAGTGAAGTCAGTATTTAGGTATCTTTGCCACGTTAAATTTTATGTTGACCCCTTCCAATATTAATTCCTTCCTTTTACTTCCTGCTTCCTTTAGCTCTACATACTTAAATTCCATTCCATATCGGGGTTGAAAAGACAGACGATCACTTTTATCGTCTGCCGAAATAGCCTATTCCCCACACGAGGTAAAAATAATTTTTAGATTTTTCATCATTTTATCTGTACAAATAAAATACATCGAGGTCTCTTTTTGGAGATCAATTTTGATATTTAATATTACTAGAACCCACAGAATTTATTTTACCCTTACTATATATATATATATATATATATATATATATATATATATATATATATTTAGTAATGATACAATATGATAAACCGTATGGAATTTTCAGGAGGATATAGAACCGGAGAGAGCTCTATGACAAAAGAAAAAGCCATATTATTATTACTTAAAAGAATATCAAACATTTAAAATCCTCTGTGTGTGTGTGTGTGTGTGTGTGTGTGTGTGTGTGTGTGTGTGTGTGTGTGTGTGTGTGTGTGTGTGTGTGTGTGTGTGTGTGTGATTTTGTTTGTAGGTCTTGAAGATTGAGAGCTGCTTTTTAAGGCTCTCATGATATAAAAATTATTACCTATGGAAGTGTTTGATATTCTTTAATTAATAATACACACACACACACACACATATATATATATATATATGTGTGTGTGTGTGTGTGCGTGTGTGTGTGTGTGTGTGTGTGTGTGTGTGTGTCGGTATAATGCAGTATTATTTTAAGCTATGTTATATTTATGGGTTAAATTACTCAATATCAGACATTGAAAGTATGTAAATATGAACATTGAAGTCAACACCCAGTGGCGACAATCTCTTGCCTGCTAAACGCTTTTTGTCGCCTCTGGTTATTGATTTCAATGTCCTCTTATATATGTATATATATAGATATATATATTTTGAACAATAAAAAACATTAAAAACTTAAAATCTTCAAACTCACGGAGTTGTATATTAATATTCTTTCGTTTTTATTATTTCATTTAGATTCCTTGACTAGTTTTGGCCAACATGCCCCTCATCAGGAGAAAAAATTTCTGCTTGCTGGTAGCAGTGAACTACAGAAATGAATGTCTTGATGGAGAAAATGAACTTTTGTCTGTAGTTTTCATTCGTTTTTTTTATTTTTTAACGTGATATATATATATAAAGAAATGGACAAAGTCCGACAATTTATTTATTAAAGACATTTTTATGTTTAACGTTCTTTTTTATAGATACAAGTATTTAAGTAAATGCTCTGTTTATAATAAACAGTATTAAATAACATTTACCAGCCTGAATGTCCGAGAAATTTTCATAGAAAATATTCGTCCTTTGACAGGATTCGAACCTGCATCCTATACGGAACCATCATTTACGCTGACGTGCCTTAACCGCTCGGCCACAAAGGAGCGTTCGGTAGGCAAGGTCGAATTTACTGCTTATAAACTTCAATCTTCCATGAATCTCGTACATTCATAACTGCTCTGGCGTATCAAATGTAAACAAATGACGTCATATATTAAGAAATGGACAAAGTCCGACAATTTATTTATTAAAGACATTTTTATGTTTAACGTTCTTTTTTTTATAGATACAAGTATTTAAGTAAATGCTCTGTTTATAATAAACAGTATTAAATAACACTTACCGGCCTGAATGTCCGAGAAATTTTCATAGAAAATATTCGTCCTTTGATTATTATAAACAGAGCATTTACTTAAATACTTGTATCTATAAAAAAACGAAAACATAAAATAAAATGTATATATATATATATATATATATATATATATATATATATATATATATATATATATTCGTCATAACTGAGCATTGGTTACAATCCTTATTGGATGCCCTATCTTTTAGTCCTGTAGCAAACCAATTCATGATTTCTAAGTATTTATATAACATGGAAAACTATCATATTTTGATCAACATTGAGCCGATCTTATAAGTGATTTTAGAGTTTGCTCATCTCTATTGATTCTACATAAAAAATCTAAATCCAAGAAAATTTGTTCCAAATTGCCTTACGAAACAAACATCAGTCAGTCTTTAAAGACATCCTTTTTTATTTATTTTTCTTCTTTTTCTTTTCTTGTTCGATACTAGAAGAGGTCATCTTTTGACAAGATAATCCCGAGTAATGAAAAATGATTTATACATCATCCTCATAGTTAGAGTTCAAAATCGTTTTACGTGGTCGTGTTGCAGAAAACTTGTTCTCCGCCCGGCAACCTCTTTCCCCCGAATGCGTCACAGCAAGCTTATCGATACTCTGACACCCTTTCCATGGCAACTGTTCAAATGCGCTCTATTTTTTAGTTGCAAAAGGTTCAGACATTTAGAGCTAGGACACGTCATGTTGCACAAACAGATTCGAATCCCATTCATTTTTCCCATGTACCAAACTAGCTTAAAAGGGATTTCAGCTAGCTCCTGTGGAGAGCTCTTGATTAAGCCTTCTGCTTGTTCAAGAGTTTGAGAGTCACTAAGTCGTTACATATTCTCAGTACTGGAAGCTCTCTTGGCTACCGTTTGATCTGCGTTTTCATTTGCAATTTGGTCATCTGTTGTCGGAGATTTCTCTTTGCGAGGCGTACTGCTGCTGTATACGATAGCCAACAATAAACTACAGATGAACTCAAAATTGATCGTTGCATTTAAGTATTACATTAATATTTTAAGCTTACTTTTTTAAAAGTGCAACGATAATTCTTTTTGCTACTACTTAATTTCAAGACGATGTGATATACGTAGGTCCTTACTTTCCGTACAATCATTTTTATTTCATGGGTGACTTTCGATGGATTTCGCAATTTCAATTATTTATTCCCAAATTTATTTCCAAGTTATAAAAAATTTTATCGTACAAAAAATTCGCCGCAAAAAAATCACGTAATAAAATCTCAACATTTCAGGTTTGCGGGTCTGGAGCCGCACCGGAATGGTTTTAATTTGCTCACGGAATAGGCCTGATTCCAAAATGCTATATGATGGGCCATGACCTCTAGGCATAAAGTCGAAAAATTGTAACACAGACACACTGGCACTCGCATTTATTTATATGGATGTAAGAAAAATTTCCACTCAGAAAGATTTTTTCCTAAGAAATGCTACTATCTGAAAGAGACTCCCGCGTGGGTGTTTCCTTGAATACGATAGATTTCAAATCAATGTTCAGTCGTTATTTATCCATATCACCTTCATAGTATTCAGTTTGTCTTATTCTTTCATTCATAACACGCACCTTTTTTTCATTAAGAATTTTAACAGTAATTCTCTGCTTTGAGAGGCTCTCGAGTCTTGTATGAGACATAGTATATAGATTTTTATTGCGCAAGCCTTAGAATGCAAGTAAAACAAGTTAGTTTCATTTAGTAAACAAAAAGATAGTAATTAACTAAGCAATTTATCGACGTGATTCTTAAAAGCATCCAGCCTTTTGGCAAAGACGGCTGGATATTGTAGACTTTTCCAATTATTTATTATTTTTTGACTGAGGAATATATTTTCTAAAGACTTTTTAAATTATGATTTTTTTTTAATTTAAAAAAAGTTTCCCTAAGTAGTAGAAGGAATGAATTGAAAGAAATTAGTCTTTTCAATATTTATTAACCAAAGGCAATAACTGGGTGAATGTTTCTCTACTGTCGATAAAACAGTAAATGTAACTTCAAATGCACTTGGCCGTCTTTGTCCGTCAGGTAATTTAAGTTAGTTATAGTCAAGAAAGCCTACTCGGTGCGTTTTTATAGTTAGCAAGGTTTGTCTGAATGAATGACATACTAATTATAAAAAGTTTCAACACAATAGAATATTTGTCAATATATAATGATATCATTTTCTGCTGGATGCCTAGCCATATCGGCTTAAAGGGCAACGATAGGACTGATTCGGCAAATAAAATGCATCAACCTCTAAAAATAGTTCAAACACAAGGGCCCTTATGCAGACCTCAGACCAACCGTTAGCACATACAGATGAAAGGCATCAAACACCAAAAACAAGTAAAGGTGAAGTAATAATATCTAGACTTCATATATTCTAAAACAAGAGCCCGCCCCCTCCAATCTGTACGGCATGCCAAGAAAACACATACAGCAGCGATATCTGTCTATATTTCTGAGATGAGGCATTATTATGTACACTATTTACATCATTCGGTCTATTGTCCTCATCTTTGTCGCCATATTTAATACAACATTTCGGCTCTTCAGTATCTGTCTATATTTCTGAGATGAGTTATTATGTACACTATTTACACCATTCGGACTATTGTCCTCATCTTTGTCGCCATATTTAATACAACGTTTCGGCCCTTCAGTATCTGTCTATCTTTCTGAGATGAGTTATTATGTACACTATTTACACCATTCGGACTATTGTCCTCATCTTTGTCGCCATATTTAATACAACGTTTCGGCCCTTCAATATCTGTCTATCTTTCTGAGATGCGTTATTATGTACACTATTTACATTATTCGGTCTATTGTCCTCATCTTTGTTGCCATATTTATCACAAC